ATTGTACTTGTGGTTGTCGTCTGGATGACTAGACTGGAGTAGATTAATGACTCTTAAATTGACAATCTGGATGATCCACATCCATTCATTCCTGGAACTTCAATGTCGTATCTCCTCATTTCTTTGGCTACCTGGGTAGCCTTCCCAGTTTCGTACATTTTACAAACATTCCACGTACCCATGATTATTTTTGCTTTCGTCGAAAGAAGACAGATTGGCTGGTTGACTGGCTTACCGAAGGCTTTCATCAGCCTACATCATTCCCAGCGAAGAATAAATTTGCTTTTTATATTTTTCTTGTGCTTTGAAGTATCTGTAGAGATTGGATTGGTTTTCTGGGATAGGGTTGCTAGCCCCACCCCCAGCCTTCCCTCTTCTCCTAGGCTTGTGACCGGCTAGAAAACTAGCTGAGTGGTTAACTAGGCGAGGTCACGAAGAATCATTAAGTGAAGTTTATTACTTAAGAGATGAAACGACTTGAATTCATATCTGTCAGACTCAATTTTCCCATAGAAAAATAATCTAATTAATCTGTTCTTATCCAATCAGTCAACGGAGAATAAGAGATTGGTCAATAAGTCACTTTCAAATTCGGTAGAATCATGCCACACCGATTGTGACTTCTTCTAAAGTCGTACTGAAAATGATGGTTAGTGTATGCGTAGCTTGATTTAATGAGAAAGTATACTGTCCGTAAGAGACTGTGAATTTATTCCAAAAGAAATTCGGGACGACAATCGAACGATTATTAAAACCACACGTAGAGTGACGCGTAAAATCCGAAAACACAGGATTTGTCTAAAATACGGTACTATATTAAACATAAAATATGAAATATAGTATACAAACCTCAATTGTCAGGTGTCTGTAGCTGAATGCCGTCAAAAAGCACAGTCAATGCGCGTCAATAAGTAAAAACAGCAGAGCTGTGTCAAAGGGGATCCACGTGTTATACAAACAGCGCGCGAATGCCAAACTCAGAATAAAGGGATACGGATAAACAATGTTCAACATTAAAGGGTACACGAATAAAGCATATACAGCAAATAATGTTCGATTATAAGAAAATAATTATCACACATCTAATAGATTATTAATACATCGAGTGAGATAAACTTCAATAGTAAATAAAGACATGGTTAAGAATTAACAAATACAACTTGCACTACTTACCAGAAATAAGTAGTATAAATATTAACACAAAAGAAGGAATGACAAGGGGGAATTAGGAAAGGAATTAACAGAGACTCTGCAGAGGGTACTACTGAGACTTTGTAAGTATTATATAGTGTGTGATTGACTTCGGCAAGAATATTAAGCAAAGTTTAACTATCACTATCCATGGAATGTGAACGCAAGGCTGACCTTGGGGTGACCAATCAGAAAACCAATGGCTTTTAAACAAAAATGATATTTATTTACAGAGAATAATGATAATACATATTAAACAGGATAATTTTCCGTGATGTGAATTAAAACTGCCTCCCAATTATAATGAGGAGTGCCAGTTTTTAGGTTAAACCAGTTACTGTACATGTATTCATTAAGGTGACTGAAGATGAGTTCTTTTTGTGACCCACTTGTCACTCTTTGTTGTTGTTGTTCCCTTGGGTTCCTAGTGGAATATAGGGCTTCAACTACACGTCTCAAGTTGCTTCTGTCTTCTGCTGTACTTTTCACCTGCGTCCATGTTAATCCATACTGTTTCAATTTCTCTTCACACGATCTCCTCCCTGTCGCCCTTGGACGTCCCACTCGCCGCTTCCCTTTCTGGTTCCACTCGAGCGTTGGCCTGACGCGCGATGTCACCCAACGGCCTCCTCAGCGAGTGTCCAATCCATCTCCACTTCCACCTGCATATTTTTTGGGCGATCGGTTCTTGTTTTGTTTGTTCCCATAGTTTCTTGTTGGTGATTCTTTCCGGCCATCTGATCTTGAGTATAGAGCGAAGACAGTTGTTGTTGATAAAGGTCTACTTGCAACCTGTTGGAAATATTCCTTGTGAGCCGCCAAGTTTCTGATCCGTATAGAAGAACTGACCGACTTGACGTTTGTATTGAAAATCCGAATTTTGTTGTTGATTAGCGCTGGATGTTGCTGCTGTTGTTGTTGTTGGTTGGTTATTTTCATAACCTCCGTCTTGTCTATGTTCACTTGGAGTCCTGTCTTTGCTGCTTCTTCGACCAGTTTGTCGGTTTTCGCTTGTAAGTCTTGGATTTTGTGTGACATCAGACATAAATCATCTGCGAAATCCAGGTCTTCTAGGTTCTTCACGTCGGTCCAGGATATCCCTGACAATTATTGGTTGTGAACGCCATTATCATCAACTTAAAATTTTGCATTATGCAGGATTACTCACACTACCACTACAAACACTGCATTAGACCTGACAATGAAAAACAAAACAACAACCCTGAAATGTTATTTTACGATTGTTTAGAGTTGTTTCAACCAAATTAACTGATCATCTTGACGATAAACATTCTTAAATATCATTTCATAACTTCTTGTATGATTATAGCTTTACTGTCACCATACATAATCATATCATAGCTTCCACTACCAAATACTGAGATATTATTATATGCTGTTTATTTTCCTTTCTACTTCTTGGTATTTTTTCGCATTTGTTTTTAAGATTATTTTGTGTTTATTGTGTTTTTTGTTTCCTTTTTCCTGCTGATGTTGTCTTTATATTTATTTATTTCTTTTTGAAAATACTCCTTTTAAACGTTCGATAAAATTAGATGCAAATATTGTAGTTATATGCTGAAAATTCCACACTGTACCACTAGTACTGTTTCTGCAATAAAGCAAATTATTATTATTATTCCCGTTTCCCATTGTCTGATACATAATCCAGTCCACCACAATTAGGAATATCATTGGTGATAGTAAGCACCCTTGTCTGACTCACGTGTTTACTCCAAACGCCTCGCTGAGTTTTCCGTTGTAGATCACTTGACATGTGTCGTTGTCGTACATTGTTGAATAAGGTTGATGTCACTCTTTACTTGGTTTAAAGTGCTAGTAAGGGTCTCGACAACTATTTGCTAGATAAATGCAGACAACAAAGCAACTTAACCCTAACCCTAACGTTAATCCTAAACTTAGTCCTGATCCTAACTGTAATCTTATTCCTAATCTTAATCCTAACACCAAACCTAATCATAACCGTAACCCTAACGAGCTATCAAAATATTATCCAAACAGTACATAAAACCAAGATCGGGATGAAGTTTGCACCTCATTTCCTTCATATTGACGCTTTTAGTAATGGTAGGTCCCGTTGTCCAACGATTAGTATGCGTTCAAGGTGATTGGTGCGTTCGTATTCCTGGATCGTTATACTTTAACTTGGTCGAATAGTGAATAGTGGAGGGGTGGATTAAGTGGTGAAGAGGAGAAGTGGAAGATCCTGGTGTGTGTGTGTGAAACAGAAACATGGAAAACATGAAAGGAGGACAAGAGAAGCACAATCCGGAGAACATGTGCAAATGGAGATTTCAGTGTGTAAGGCACCTGTTTTTCGCCATGTTTGTACATCAATAGGTCATAGACGATTCTTTTACCAAATACTAACGTGTTCTACTGCTAGAGCTCTGCTTCATTCGACTTTGGTGCTTGTTTCTCCTTAAGAGTTACTAACCTTCCAATAATCGACTGGGGCATACACAATGTCATTTTGCCAGAGGTTCACTTATGACTTGAATAGAAGAGTGATAAATCCTGAGAAATCAATACCAAATGATAAATAAAGGTTAGGAAAAGGATCCCCAACAGCCTTACTCTTCACTCTTCGAATCCATGTTCGATATTGTTTTATAGAAAAAGCTTGACACAATCAGTTATACAATTTGAAAAAACTTCGTATAAATAGGAGTTTAGATATTTGGAGGCGATCGGCCACAGGAAGCCTTGCTTCAACCGAGGTTTCGTACTAGTTGGCACTCACAAGTCAGCAAGGCGTATCTGCAACCTTGAAGGAACTCATGACCATCCTGAGATCTGAACCCGCGTCATCAAGTGCTGCAGTCAGAGACGATATCACTGAGCTATTCGGGCTCGTGATTGGCCTCCTGTAGGACCTGTAGTGGGTAGTTTGACTGGACACTAGTAACTAGTGTGACGTGTCTAGTCCTTTCTTCGGTGCAGACTGAATTCTATCAGTCAGGTTTACAATGTGGCCACCATTCTAGGTAGCTCGCCATCACGGTGCACATTGATTTGATGATATTAGATAGTTGGAGGCAATCGGCAGGAAGTCTTCAAGGTTGCAGATACACCTTGCTAACTGGTGAGTGCCAACTAGCACAAAACCTAGGTCCAAGGCTTCCTGTCCAATTAAATAGGAGTTTAATTTACACCGTGGTGAGAGCTAGCTGCAAGCCAAAATTATAGACAGCAATTTACGTCAGTGTTACGTCCAGAATCGGGGTCATGAGAAAAAACAATAACAAAGCTTAACCTTGAGGAACTCACCAACCACCAATCACAGCAGACTTAACGTGTGCAAATACGATTTTCTAAGAAACGGTCCCAAGCAGTACAGAATAACTTTCAGCAAGAAAACAATCAGTCAGAAGGCGTTGCTTCTTCGCTGACAATAACGTACATAAAAATCTATCAATATCTCTTGATTTTCTCAGTTGCCTGGCCATTACAACACGGGTTTTCTTTAACGTAACCTATAGGAATTATCATCAGGTTAATGGGAACTGAATGCTGAGGAAGACGAATTTTTCACTTTTAACATTCACTCAATGACAGCAATCTCATATAGACTGATTCACACTGAAAACTATTCACCAAAGTTCAGAAATGCGTCAGTATCATTCATTTATTATTTTTATTAAATAAACAAGTACATGAGGGAAAATTAAGTAGCTATCAGTAATATTTAAATGGTTTTTCAAAGAAAAATAAATAAATAAAATTACAAATGAAAGGTAAATATAAATAATGCATTCAATCATTTCTAACATTATATATTCCGTGAATTAACATCGTGTAACAGGTTTACAACGAGTTTTTATCCTTGCACCAATCCCACATGTACATTTAACTCTTTCATTACAAGCAGGAGTAAACCATGGTAAATGATTTGGTTGACATGCATGAAGTTTACAGTGTTGTTCAATAATTTGAGGCGTTATTATATTTTCTGGTAAAATTTTAGATGTAAGCTTTGGATCAGTCGGATTTGATTTTTCAGTCATATTTATTGTCCAACTTTGTCTTCTTAAAAAATTTAATTATTATTATTATTACCTTTGAAGATAGATAGATAGATAGTATTCACGTGATTTCAATGAAAAATCGATACATACATACATATCATCTGACCTAATTTACTTACTAGCTCACTTATCGATCCCAATGTAAGGTTGGAGAAGTAAGAATGCTTAGGCGGAAAATCCAGTCAATCGCTATTGAAAATTCAGTAGAATCGAGGAGGTGAAATGACACCGACTGGAGAATGCCTTTGAAGAGCCAGGCAGCCAATGTATCTCTTCAATAGAAGCATGGGGTCAGAGCAAGACAGGCTGGCAAGGTTACTCAGATTGTAAATAAAATGACAAGATATGGGATAATAATTATTATTGTTTCCTTTAATTCCTAGAGGAATATAGGGCTTCAGCCATGCGTCTCCATTGCGTTCACTTCTCTGCTAGAATCTTCACCTGGCTCTAAGTCTGCCCACACGTTTTCATCTCCTCTTCACATCACCTCCTCCAAGTCACCACACCCTTGCACTGACGATCAACTCGCCGCTTCCCTTTCGGGTTCCACTCGAGCAATGGCTTGTCTAGTGATGTCACTTGATGGTTTGTTTCCTCAGAGTATGGCCAGCCAATCCATCTCCATTTCTTCCTGCCTATTTGTTTCACAATCGGTTCCTGCTGTGTTGGTTCGCTCATTGCCAGAGATCTCTGTTGCTGATCTTTTCTGACCGGCCATCTGATCTCGAGTATTGAGCGAAGACAACTGTTAATGAAGGTCTGTAGTTTGTTTGAGATGCTCTTTATGACGCGCAATGCAAGTCTCTCATCCGTATAGTGAGTAGCACTGACTGATTCCACATTGGAGTTGAAAATCCGGATCTTATTCTGATTTTGATGCTGAGTGCTGTTGACCTCCACACAGACTTGAGAGTAATGAAAGCTTGTCTTGCTTTTCCGATTCTTGCTTTGATATCCGCGTCAGTTCCGTCCGCCTGTAGTTGAAAGGATGCTTCCAGGTTGGTAGGTGAAAGAGGTTGTTTCTTTCAGGTTCCTCCCATTTATTTTGGCTGATTGTTGTCTGTTGTTGTTGCTGTTGGTGGTATTGCCCAGGAATCTTCATCACCTCTGTTTTCTCTATGTTCACCTGAAGTCCTATCTTCTCTGGATGCTTCTTCTATCGTCAACTTGTTGCTTTTCACTTGCATATCTTCCAGTTTGTGAGAAATGAGACATATATCATCGGCGAAGTCCAGATACTCCAAGTTGTTTGTGTGAGTCCATTTTATGCCTGTTTCCTCATTGCCCGCTGTTTGTCGCATTATCCAATCTACTGCAATCAAGAAAATCATTGGAGATAGTAGGCAGCCAGCTTGTCTTACTCCTGTCCTCGCTTGGAAGGATTCCGCAAGTTTCCCACTGTGGATTACTCGGCATGCAGCATTGTCGTACAGCTGTTGGATGAAATGTATAATAGGGCCGGAAATCTGTTAGAATATATGGAATGGAAGTCGACTCCCGAAATTGTTAAATGGACTGGCCATTAGGAAATCACCAACAGCATCGAAGGCTTTTATACAGTGGAAACTATTTTCCACTACGAACATGAAAGTACGATTCAACTCAAAAGAGAGGAAAATTACAATGATGACTGAATAGATGGATAGACGGAACAATATGTAGACGTTTGCACAGAAAACCTACTTCCGCTAGACAATATACTCACTTCCTTAGCTTCGTACCGCTACAATACACAAACGTAACCTGGTTAGATGTCTGGTTCACCGGGCTACAGTTATCTTTTCAAATGCGACAATGAACCAAGAACTCAGTAATATTCGTGATCTACTAAGTGGAAACAAACATCTGACTAAATTCGTGAACAAACACATGAACTCAGAAAGTAAAAAGTCGAAGTTGCTGATTGTTCCCAAAAAGTCAGTCTTCCTAAGGTTACAATTCACGGGTGATGTCAACAGTGAGGTCTTGTCACAGCCTCTGAGAACCTTCAAAAGGACTTTTAAAGCAGAAAAAAGTGCCTTGTCTCGCCTATTCCATATGCATTTATCAGCTTAACAGCTCGTCTGGAGCTAGTTACATAGGGTGTACGATCAGGCAAGTTCATTGTCAAATTTCTGAACACCTCCCATATTGGTTCGACAAAGGTCCGAATAAAGCTATACGCAGCTCAATAATAGCTCATCTCGTCGATACTGGCTGGATATCAAGTCGACTCACTATAACAAAGCTTTTATAGTTATTTATCGTAAATCACCCAACCTCTCGCATGGTCTACGAGTACAGCTTTTACATACAACAGAAGCAATCAGAATTCACCTGGACAAGCCAAAACTGTGTGTTCAACAGATATTTGTGCAGACCCTTTCTTTGGCATGACCAACTACATAATATGTACTAAGTTTTTTTAAAACGATTTTTCACCTCCCCTTATAACTATCTTTGGCTTTGTTAGTTTGCAGTTATAGCTAATTCCATTAAGTTGTTTGTATTTTACGTAATTCTTCTTAGTCATCATTACTTTACAAATTTCTTGATTATGCAATAACTTGTTGCTAACGCCTAAGAATCAACTTATCTTGAGTTCCGTAATTAATTTCCACCCCTTCTTCAAAACTGGAAAAGAGCTAGCGGCGGTCAAACCAAAACATGACACCAATCAATGAAATCCACAACAGTTAGTTTAAGCCAGTTGGAACGTAGGAAGGTGTAGACTTCCTGACTGGTTGGGGTCCTCGGGACGGTAAACACCGATGAAGGCTGGAGACAATCGGTAATATGGCTCAAAATGATCGTTCTCAATGGCTGGTTCAGAAGCCTCCACTCCTTGTGACTTATAATTTCCAATGAAACTATATTGTTCTTCATTATTACTATTCCTTTTGTCTCATATCCCTTCTTACTGTCTCTATTATGCATTTCTTCTCTTGCTTTGTGTGCTACATGGAGTGTGGCGACTTGAACTGCTACACATCGGTGCAAAGTTCTATGTTGAAAACAGACAGACAGACAGACCTATTAGTTAACTGGTTTGATGACTTTGAACCTCTTAAGTTCACCACTCACACACTCCGTATACCTAAAACTGATTAACTAAAATAACCCCTTGATTGGTAAAATTCGAATGTAAAAAGAACTGCATATCAGTGTAAAGCCAGCCGATGATGAGGAACTAACTGAAAAGAAATATACTTCTCAGCTCAATCTGTTGTTTTTTCTAAATGCGTCAATGGGAATTTGGAAACGTATGGTCCGCGATTCGATTTCCGGTCGACGCACTCCTTTACCTCGCTAAGCCAGAAATAAAAGCTGGTAAAGAGGAAAGGTTGGGCATGTGGCTAGCGACCCCATCCTGTAAAAATAAACACTGCTACAGAAACTTCAAGCTTCTAGCTTGAAGCCTTATGTTCCACTGGGGAACGTGAAGGAATAAAAAACTTTTTTAAACTGAGTCCATAAATTTATACATAAGTACAACACGTAACACTCGCTTTGGTGAATAAATGTTTACACAGAATAAGACTGTATAGTTTACTGTACGTTATAGTGTAGTGACCCATTTTATTACTCATCATCGTAGTATACTTTCACTATGTAATTGGACTTTGATTTGTTTATCACTCTAAATATTGCATGTTAACAATTGATACTTTTGTACTCGCTCAATTTTTGAATTTTGATTGCCACGATTATACACGATCGTATTCCTTCGCAAGTGCCTTTTGAATTACGTTGTGGATGTCGAGTAATCACAACGTTAGGACACAATTATAAACGCGAAGAAATACTAGGATATACGTGTACGCTAGTTTGGTCAAATAGAGCAACACAACAATAGTAGTAATTAGCACTAAACCAAAATTTGAATTTGGTTCATTTGAAGACTAATGAATTACAGGATTTCATCATGAGCTGACATTGGTTAGAAAACCATCGGAAAACCATCAGGGAGTACTGCACAGCTGTTTCGTCCCAATTTGGGACTCTTCAGTAGTACGCACCAACCTCCAAGGTTCGAACCCAGGACCTTCTGGTTACAAGGCGAGCTCGGAGACCATTAAGCCACTGGGAACCGATCCAATGGCCCATGAATTCTAACTTCTGCCAATTCACAACATAGCGCGATTCCTAGCCAATGTCTTCGGCAAGTATTTGTCCTCCCACACAACATGCTGCACCCTACTGGTCACGACTAATTAATTGTTCAGTAAGATATTAAAATCCAATTGTCCTGTAGTGTATAATGTACAATAAGGAGAAAATCGATTGTACTTTATACAAATTTATAATTATCAATAAAATTAAACACCCAACTACACTACAAAGTGCACTTGTATGTGTTAATTGAATCGATAGTTCAAATTATTTCTGATATTTACTGTCTGTTTAAAAGCAAACAAAAAAATCAATTTCTTTTTAAGACATTCCATCTACTTCACTAGTAAATTAATCATACTTATCAGGTCATTTACAAACAATAGTGTTCTCTGAGCTGGTTGGTTTAGTTGAGGAGTTTTCGTTGTCCTTCTGGACAACATCTTCAGAGCAATATTTAGCACAAAGTGAAATGATTTAAATTTCTTTATGAGTGATGATATAATTGCGTCTCCCGGTGACCAACTTTACATATGTATTGACCATTTTCTATTGACTTGGGTTTTAAACTTTCTGGTCACCTGATTTACTTTTTATTAGTTGGTATATTTCGTCTATATTAATATGTTTGTTAATTGGATTTTCGTTTGAGTACCAGGCTTCTAGAAATTCTCTTGCACTTTTGATGTTTCCTCTGTCTAAGATTTTGACATTATCCTAATCAAACTGATGTACTTAATTGTCTACATGCGTTGATACTAAAGAATACATATCGTGTCTTTTCACGGCTGATTTGTATTCTTGAATTCTAATTCGAAGGGGACGCCCACTTTGGCCGATGTAATGCCTGTTACAGTTCATGCAATTTATTTTGTAAATGGTAT